AATAATCAGTCCCTACCTGTACTGTGAAACTGAGTCACCAGCACAGCTCAGTAAGGACTGGAAAAGGCAGAACGTACTGCAAAGTTTAATTTATGGTCTAGGACTTCAGGATATATTCTTTCCTAGAGAATATTTAATCTTTAGCATAGATTTTATTATTAATCTCTTCCATCTTCATCTTCTCTCTCACCAGGAAATGGGTTTAAACATCACAATTTTTCTTAATAATTCTAATTAATGTCCTTAATAATTTTCTGAAGATCTGCAGTGGCCTCTGCACCTATTTCTACCCCACTTTGCAGAAGGTGACATTACACATGCCCTACGAGAGCATTCTGTATCTCAGAGGTCACAGTTCCTCAGAAAAGCAACAGAAGAGGGCTGCAGCTCCTTACTCTGAAGTCAAATGCTACAGAACTCTCCTGCCTTTTCGCAGGCTTAGTAAGAGAAACAAGACAAGGTTCTACATAAGATGCAGGCATTTTCTTCCTTGGTTTCTGTAGGTGCCAATTAAATGCATGTCAAAATACATGTTGCAGCATGCTTTATAACCCTAATGTACGTCTATATGCCTTTTGCAAGGTGCTACACACTCATGTGTTTTGGATTAACTTAATTCCGACAGTTAATAAATCATTTCTTAAACATGCTAAAAGGTAAGTAATACTAAGATAAAACTAGTAAAGTTCTTCCACAGCAATCATGGGTTAATTACCAAAAAAAAAAATTTTTAGAATTTAAGCTTTGAGAAAATCCTATTTGTAGTGTTTTCAAGAGATTTCAATTTAACAGAAATCTGAGTTGTGCATCTTCCTAGGCCTAAATCAAGTTTCTAAGTAAAGATAGCTTTTTGGCTTTTAAATTAGGCAAATTGATAGCATTAGAGATCACCATGCAGCTGAAGATTAACTATGTCATCAGACATAACTCTCCAAAAAATAACTGAACGCTACATCTGCCTGCGCAAGTATTGAAAAAGCTACATCACGAGTCTGTTGGAATCCATGTTGTAATTTATTCTGTAATTGCATACAAAATATAAATACAATTCTCTTAAGTGCTGAACATAGTCAGCTAAAACCACTGTTAAGATAGACTGACTTTGACTTTCTGAACGTAGGCACAACTTGACTGGTTTCAATAGAACTATGGCTACTTTTACAGCAATGAACCTCCTAGGTTGAATCACCAGCTCACACCATCACAATAGTTCTGGTTATTTATGATTACTGGAGGAATTATACACTTTTCACGTCTTACAAATTCATCACGTTTCACGTTTATAAATTCATCAAATTTAAGATCAGGGCTTGTGCTGTTCCCAGCATGTCTATCTGAAGTACTGGTCCACCTCCCAGCAGGCTGTGGTAGAGTACCTTGGACTGCTCCCAAATTGAACTTAGCCCAATCTGTATCTTCTGCATACGTAAAATAAGGAGAACAACTACAGGCAACATCAGTGCTGGAGATTTTAGATGAAGAACAGAAGCCTAAGATGAAAATTTTCTTACCTTTAGGCACCTTTCCCATCCACACACAGAGCACATGAAGTGCCAAAGATTAGACTGTCATATTGTCTAAACCCCTGAAAAAGTAAGTTTTTAAAAAAAATACTAGTCATACAAAAATAATTTTGATGTGTCTATATATGCCATTTCTCTAGCAAAAACTGGTCTCTGCTATTCTTGGGCACTTCATTCAGAAGTCACTTTCAGATAACTGTATTCCAGCTTAACTGAAACACTCTTAAACTCAAGTACAGGCAAACCTCACAAACTTGCAGAAATTCTGGTGCTGTGAGGATGACAAAAATCTATACTAGGTAATTTACTTTGTCTCCCACTACCTTCTAAGAGGCAAAACATGGGCTCCTGCACTTTGTCCTTTCACCTGATTTCCTGTTAGTACTGTCTTGGCTTCGTCTAGATTGTCCACTAACTTAGGAGAAAAACAACACCACAGCGGGAAAAGAGGTTCTGATCAATGAGTACTTGACTCTGTGGTCTTCTTGGTTCTGACTGTACTCTGCTTCAAGATCTAACACTCCTCTCAATCCTTAGCAGCTATATAAAAAGACAATAAGTTTTGGTTTCAAATAAATACAATACTAGGAAACTGGACATCTTTCTTCTAGTTCTGTATTACTCTATAGCTGAACTGCTTGGAATAATGACTGTAGGGGTATCAGCTATGCATTGCTTCAGCACATAATCAGCATACATTGTCAATCATTGCACTTCTAAATCAGAAACATTTTTGAAGTGTGAGATTCCCCAAAATAAATCCTTAAAATTTGTTAGCACCTTCTGTGATTTCTCCTTATCTGAAAACTGGAGAATTGTATTATGCTCTTTTATTGATTAAAAAAAAAAGTCTGCCTCCATTCTCTGTCTCCGGTAGTCTCTACTTTTATTCACTTGAATGTTCAGCCTCATTGGCAGAAGCAAGAGACTACATCTGTTAAAATACACAAAGCCAGCTTAATCAGTGTTTAAGGAATAAATTACTATAATGCAAAACAGAAGACCTACTTTGTTTACAGAAACTTTACTCTCATTCACAAAATCTTTCCATCTCTAGGCCTGCTATGAAAACGAATCTGTTGATAAAAAGGAAACCTGCATGGAGAAATTTTTATAAAAAATGTCATCATACCTAAAATACACTAGGAATTTTCTTCCATTTAAACACAAGTCTTTTTTCTTCAACTGCTCTGTGCTTCATCAGCCTATCTTCACTGAAAGCATAAAAAGCCATTTCACTCAACACTAAATAAGGATAGATACTCTAGGGGCATTAGAGGCCTTATAACAGGTGTTTGGAACAGGGACCTCTTAATCTTTTCTTCAGTGCCTAGTGTTGTACAAACATCATCCTGTAAGTGTCTTGTGCTCCTTTTGACCCGTTTCTCCAGCAGTGAAGTTCCTTTGTGTAGATTTAAACTGGGCTTTTTACAGAGCAATGGAATATTTTTCTCTATATACATCTGTATCACAACCCTTCAATTAGCCAGTCCCAGCAGTTTTAAAAAAAGAAGACATGAATATGCAGATTCACTATACGTGTAGTCTTTATAACTGGGAAGAATAAAGAGGGTACAATTCACAAAGCTTCCTCTATAATCATGTCAGCATTCATCCCACAGAGCAGTATTGCTAGGGCTTTCATACTTGCCTCTGTACCAGTACTAGAAAGGAGTGGACCCTGACATTTAGGAAAAAGTGTGTCTGCTGACACCGATTCCTTAGTGCCCTTGGTGGTGCAAGATCACCTGTGAATCCAGCACTGCGGGGGAAACAATGAAGATAAAAAAGATGGGAAGAGTAACCAAGGAGTTTAAAGGGAACTGCAGAATACACAAAAATGAACAGGGAGTTGACATTTTCTGCCTATGAAGACACCAAAAGCTGTTTGATGCCATTGTTTTTAAGTGTCTTACCCAGCACTAAATGCCTTAATACATGAAACACGTCGGGAAAGCCCTTGCTATATTTGGTGCCATGTTTTTTCTACCTCTCCACTTGAGCAGTGAGAAAAAGAAGTCATCACTGTTCGGAGTTCAGCTACAGTGGCCAGTGTCCAAAGAGCCAATATTGCAGGAGAACAATTTTCATCTGAATTTTTCTTTCCTAAGAGTCTATTATCATCCTTGGATTGTATGCATAGAACTGGTCCCAAAATATTAGGGCTCCAAGGTACTTTCCCTAATTGCTATGCAGTAAACTTGCCTCTACTAGCACTGGTAAAGCATAGGGATAATTACAATCTCACCTGAGCAAATGATGCATGCCAACATTAAAAGCTTAATGTCAAGTTTTAAACAGAATTCAGGTTCCTAAGAGCACAGATAGTAATCTTTTGATATTGACGTGTCAGCATCACTGGGTGGCTACATATCCTTAAAAATCTGACCCTCTATCCTCCAGCAGATCTGCCTCTTGAGCTTTGGCCTTCAGTTGCTCACATTTTAAGATGCTCATCTCATCTGTTGCACAGATCAGTCTAGAGGTATTACCACAGAACACTCCAGTGCGCTGTACCAGCATGCTGGCAGTCTGTGCTGTTGTGGCTACACCAATGCCTATACCTGAAGCAAGTTAGTGGTCCTTTCTGTTGCTCTAATTGTTCCAGATTTTTCAGTTAAGGAAGACACAAAAAACCCACACACACAATTACATGCAAATTTAAGTAAAAAATTCTTTAAAAGTGCAGGGTATCACAGAAGATCCATTGGCCGTTTGCTATTTTGACAACTGTGTGATTAAAAGCCCACTGAAAACTATGGAAAGACACCTGATGACTTAAATGAGCTTTGGATCAGCTGTAAGGGCATTTCTTTATGCACTGAGACTGTTATATATAACAGTTAATTAAGTTACAGTTACAATATCAAAGAAATGCTAGTAATGAATACTTATTTTTGCTAACAAGAGCGAATAGCTTTCTTATGAATACTATCATTTAACAACTTAGCTATGTGATATCCCTATGAAAAATCAAAGCAAATTTTTAAAAACAAATTACAGATGCACCTCTACAAACTACATAAATCAAAAATTTTAAGTAAATATAAAAATATATATATTGCAAAATTACATCTTCAATGAGATCCTACCTGTACAGTGACCTGCACCTGCAAAATCCTGAGCGCTCCACTCTCAATACTATTGGTGAGAGCTGAGTTCATGGTGCATTTTTCAAGCTCACACACCCCCCTTGAGTTTTCTAGCTAGGAATCCAGAGGTTTATAGATTCAGGCTACTCCTCACACAGCTGCAGGGTGCTGAGCAGAATTAGAATCTCGCACCGTGAATTAGGAATAGTATGCTAAGTATCACATCAAAAAGTACTTAGTAAAGTTGTTTGGATCCCTCTACATAAAGGTGCAGGTATCACTCAGGAACAATGTTACTCATTTCTTAACTCAGTAGCCTAACCTATACTAAGCTAAACAATATAATTTGATTGCAAGAAACGTGGGCTTTTAAGTCACTACTTGTCTATGTTTTCAGTGCCTTTTTGAGGTCAGAGTAGAAATTGGCCAAGGTACTAGCCATGGCAGTGTCCACTGCAGATTGTGGTAGCATCCCTCGTAGTTCAGTCTGAATATAGCCTGTCAAAAGGCTGTGGCTAGGATAGTCCTTGAGAGGGATGCAGAACCAACCACAAGGGTGATTGAATCCACGGACAAAGTTAGGTCTCACCTCTCCATAGTCTAGGCTTATACCTATCACGGAAAACAAACAGAAAAAGGGAAATTAATTTGAGACAGATGATAAAAAATAAAGGTACAGTAAATTTAAAATGTACACATTTCTGCTCGGGGAATTAGGAGAAGTGACAGACACACTTCAAGTTTCTGGGTACTTTCATGCATGAAAGTTGTCTGCTCTTCATCCAAACTCCACAACAGGCAAACAGAACTTGATAAGCAGAAATTCTGCCATTAAAAAGACATTCCTCATATTTACTTCCAAGTTGTTACTCCACCCAGTTTACTGTAAGACCTGAGTCAGAGCTCTCAACTTGTCGCTACCACTTCTGTCCCACAGTTGGCATAAACGAAACTTTGCACACAGGGTTGGCTCATGGGTAAATCAGTAATGTGTATGCTTCTTTAAATCTGTAAAATGTTAAAATACCTTTGAAATACTTGTTGGAGACCATCTTATACCATTTTTGAATGCTTACTGCAGAACTAAACTTAATTTGAATCAAATCTTAAGCCAAGCAGCTATTGCAAAATAAGAATTAAGCAGAGGTTAAGTGGTGCCTTACCACATGTTAGAAGCCCATCTTTATAGCTTGTAGTGTAAGAGAAATCAACAAACTCCCTTGGTGCGATGATGTTCCAGAGCTGGCCAGCAGTGGTGTAGCGCATCACACAGCAGTTCTTGTTGAGTGACAGAATGAGGAGGGTAAAAACCAAAAATATCTTAGTATAACGAATACAGGGAAGTTTATGCTTGTAGGCAGCTAGCTTTTTCCACAAATGTCGCAGCCTCTGTCAACTATGCTGTACAAATAATAAATGAGGTCTGAATGGCTGTGTCGTTTTCAGTCTAAATGCTGTAAGTTTGTAAGAACTTGCAGTCTGCAACTGAGAGCTGCAGGAGCTGAGAATATCTGGCACCTTTAAACCATACTGACTAAAACTACAGAACTCCGTCTGGGAGTTCTGAGAACTAATGCCTGGGAACTGAAAGCCATGTGGCTTTTATATGGCTTAGCCACTACTTAGCAAGTCTGAAAGGACCATGTACAAATCGCAAGAGGCTTCTCTCAGGACTAAGATGCTCTGTCAAATACTTTTAATCCACCAAGTGAATAATAAAACAGAACACAAACAAGTCTTCAGAAAAGGCTTTCTTATAAGACACCGGAGTTTGTATAAATTTTAGGGAATAATTAGCAAAAATACCTTGCCATATATATCTTCCTTAACAGGCAGAGCAAAAGACAATCCATGTTTAAGCCAGATGTCCACAGGGTTTTGAAGTCATACTGAATGTCCCAGTAACCAAAGGAAATCTACCAGCTCTTCTGTAATCAACTTCAAACCTACCTTTCTTTAGCAAGTCCTGCCCCTCAGTATGAACTATTTTGGCTCCCAGCACAAAGTCCTGCCACACACTGAAGTCAGTCTTTTAAGAGGAGGGAGAGGTAGCAGCTTCTGTATGTGTGGGTTATTAATACCCACAATTTTGTTTGTTGTGGAATGGAAGAAAACAAGCTGTATGAAAAGGTTTTGGCATATAAAATATTACACTGTAACTCTCTATATGTGAATTTTATCAGAGGCTACCAGGGCTCCCAGGTCTGAGAGAATCGTGAGCAACCAAGTTTTACTCCTTTATTTTTAGCATTGGTGGAAAGCTGAACTTCAAGCTTCAGAATAGGACTGTGCAGCCACAAAGCCTCATCTGAGCTCACCTACAGCATGTATGCACAATATCCCATGTGCATGCAGAAAACAGGCAGAAAAATGTTACTATTTGTTGGAACAACTGCTCTGCTGCACTGTTAAATTCACATATGCATCTATACACATTTCACTTAAGAATCTAAACAAGTCTTCACCTCTTCAAATGTTTCCATGATGTCCATTGTAGTCATTAAGCTGTCCCAGTCTAGCCTATAAGGTCCAGGGCGAATATGATCCACTATTCTGTTAGTAACGTCTTCCACCACTCCTTGAGCTTTGTAGCTAGAGAGAGATATGTTTACATTTAAAAGTGAGAAATTCTTTATAAATGTTCCTTTGATTTGCAATAGCACACTTACTGTAATACCTTGGTACCTGGAGTTACGGTCAGTGGGCAATTGTATCAGAAAGACAGTACAGAAAAAGACCTATGGGTGCATCTATTCTCTTCTGCAATACATGTTATTCTGAGAAGCTCTGTCCTTACACTGCAATCAGTATTTTCAACTCTTTCCTCAGATAAAAATCATCATGTTTATTTCTCTAACAACTTGGTATTTTCCTGTTCTTGCTGGGGGAGCAAGGGAGTCCACCAGGGACAAGTAAAGCTAAAAATAAAGAGAAAGGAAAGCAGGGGTACAATGGGAAAAACATTTTTCATAAAGTAGAAGTAACAGTAGTAGGACCAAGCTAATGAGAAAGTACGTTACGCTTTGGTGGCATATTAGAGTACCTAATTTGTTACACGACATTACAGAACATTCATTTGTTATCAGATATTTTTTATAGACACTGGAGATTTTGCTTACTTGAGTCACCTCCGGCTCCTGAAGGGGAAGAATCCATCAGAGCCATTATTTTCAAAATACTTCTTATTCATTAAGCTGTTCTTCTTAATGGTAGGTAACTAGTCAAGCAACACATTCAACTATTCACTTGCATAGTTCACCCGTATTCACTCACAGTTAGCCGGTTGGAGCCAATCTCAGCTGTATACTCAGAACTGGAGGACGACATGAACATGCCAGTGGCTTCTAGGTAGGTGCTTGGGAAGTTCTTCCAAGTGTCCTTTATTACACTAGGTGTATACATGACCCTGCAGTCTTCATCTGCACATAGCAGCCACTGCCCTCTTGGCAGTGGTTCAGGCTACACCTGTTGTTGATGCCAGGGTGCCCGTGGCCCTGTACAGAGTCAGCAGATTCTTGGTGTCTGGGGTCATCAGCTCTTGCAGATTTAACGGGATTTAAATTCCACAGAGCGTATCAGTCTTTGAGATACTTTCAAACACTACCTCTTCACATGACTTTTCCTTTCTTTAGAGTGCTGGTTTTTAGTAACTATTTCTCTACCTAGACCTACAGATACCAACAGAACCCAGTGACAGAAACTGACACAGGAAGGACCTTTATGTCACACATCTTTCACATGACTACATGCTTGATATTTTACTCTACTGTAGTTGCATAGTCACTGTGACAGTCCAAGCACTGACACTTCAGACCTACCGAACCTGGACTTGATTCCATGGTTTGCAGACCATCTTTCTAAAAGGTCTGGGCATATGTTGTTGCCCACTTCAGCCAAGGCGAGTTTTGTGGTGTGTTCCGCAGTTTTCATTGTTAGTTGTTCTAGACACTATGGAACGCTAATGCATCAAACTGTAATGGTACAGGCACCCTAGATTATCCACTTAGCTTCTCCTGTGGATAATCTGTGTAGTTGAAGGCTGTAGAATCCACAGCCTTCATTTCTAAATTCTACAAAACACATTTGTGGAACTTAAAAATGTATCTGCTCTGCAGGCAAACTTACAGGTATCCACTGAATTCCTCTGATGGTTTACGCCACACAGTTGCATCTTTCTGAAAGAAAATGGAAGATATGATGTTAATTGTCACTTACATACAATTCTAAGATGTGCAGAAAATGCCTCAATTTTTCTGAAGGAAAGCAAAAGACTTTACCGTTAACTATGGTTCACCCCAAAGTGCTCACTGACACTTTTCTTAAGAAGATAAGCAGATGTTTCAGACATCTTTTGCTCGTAATCTTCCATTCTTTCAAAAAATCAGTCAATTGCCTTTCTCAGTGTCAAATGCTAGAAGTCTGTGCAGAAACAGGGCTTGGCAGGCCAAGCCAGTTTCCTAGGAAAACACATAGAATAATGGAACCGCATTACTAGGTAAAGCCTTTCAATTAAAAGGCAATTGGAAAACCATTATCTGGACACTATTTAGACAGGAAGACCACATGACTTCTGCTTGCACTCCTGTAACACAAGCAGATGGGTGCAGGAGGTGCTGACACTGGCAGACAAGAAAGCTTCAGTTATCCTTCTCTCCTAGATGCCTGACTAGAAGTGCCATGCAAGCAGTAGTCTATTTATTTTGAAGTTAGCCAGAGAAAATAAAGAAAACAGTATCTTCTGATTTTTATCTAACTATAAAATGGAACCTCTGTACAAAATCTCTGAATTTCAGTGTTAAAGAGAATACCATATGGCACCTTTTTGTTTGGAATCATGATTATGTAAGCACAAAGGACCAAATGTCCGAACTAACAGTAGCATAAGTACTGCATCCAGAACTGTTGAGGATGTTTAGGGCAAAATACATCTCCCTGGCAGACAGCTAATGTTCTGAATTTCTTTTTCATGGCACAGTACCAAAACAGAAGGAAGGAAGGAAGGAAGTCCAGCTGGAAATTTTACAGGGGTAAAATCTGGGGAGTGACATGATCAGAAACAGTAAGATTCGCATAACTTCCTAAAGGAAAATAACGGTGTTGGTATAAGACCTGGCATTTAGCAGAGCAGAGGTGTGTAGGTGTTTTGCAAGAGTGAAAGGCTTGGATGCTCTGTTCCTCCCTTTCAAGACTATGAATTTGCTAATTCTGCAAATAATCAATTTACGTTTGCAACACTTGACCTCTCTTATCAATGTCTGCTCACACATTAGAGAACTGCATTCTCTGTCATGGAAGGAAACTCCTGATAATGTGGGGGCTCTGAAGGCAACGGAAAATGAAGCAATAAGAAAGAAAGAATTGAAAATGATCTCACTTTTTAAGAGGAAGACATTTGGAAGGTGAAGCATGATGGGTTCAAGCATTATAGACAAAAAGATTCCAGAAGCCAGCAGAGCCTATCTGCAGGCTGTGATTGGTTTGTTAGAAAGTACAGGTGAGCATCTTGCAACATGGACAGTGCTCTAAGAAAAGCCTATAGTCCTATATAGGTAGGATTCTTCTGTGAGACACTTCCCTCAAAATGGGTAGAAAGAATGACAGAGTATGTCTGTAGATAGGAAAAAGGCATTCTGTCATCTAAAGCTGTGCTATCCTACAAGGACGGTTTCACAGGGCCTCTCATCTGAAAGTGCTGCAAGAATTTGCCAAATGTTTCACACTCACTACACACGGCATAATAAGCTCTTTCCCCCGCGCCCCCCGCCCCC